GCAGGGACAGGGTGCTGCAGGGACAGGGTGCTGTGCTGCAGGGACAGGGTGCTGCAGGGACAGGGTGCTGCAGGGACAGGGTGCTGTGCTGCAGGGACAGGGTGCTGCAGGGACAGGGTGCTGTGCTGCAGGGACAGGGTGCTGTGCTGCAGGGACAGGGTGCTGCAGGGACAGGGTGCTGCAGGGACAGGGTGCTGCAGGGACAGGGTGGCTGGCCGCTGTGGGGTGGAAGGGAGGAGCCTCTTCCCCCAAACCTTTCCCCTCTGGCTCCATGCAGGGCTGGATGTGGGTGGTAGGGAGGAGGTTGGTGTCAGTGGGAATGGTAGGTGAGTTGTTTTTGGTTTGCACATCTCTGAGCACAGCTCTTCCTTCACTTTCCCACTGCTGGCCCCTGTGGAAGAGTGGGGATTTGGGCAGGGTGGGCCCCTTGCTGCCCCCCTGCTCCCTCATGCAGCTCTTGCAGACACCACCTTTCAGCTCTATTTTGTATCCTGTTCCATCTGGGACTAAACAGAACAATTTAGGCACAGAATTCCCTGTTTTAACCTCACATTTAACCAATCCCAGTTTTTCTACTGGCCCACAGACAGTACATTAACACCAGCATTGGTTTGCTGGTGCCTGCCCAGTGCTCCATCTGGTACAGGAGTTGCTGGATTTCAGTCTCCAGCAGATTCCCAATATTAAAAACCTGCAAAGTGCTGCATTTTCCTGTATATCCTACAGAACATAGAGGGTTTCTACGGGGGGCAGAGGATTGGAGGCTCTGGGAAATACACGATGCATTCCTTCCCCTGTCACACACACCACAGCTTTTCCTGGTGCCAGCTGTGATGGCTGGAGCCAGCGGGGACAAGGGACCACAAGGTGGCTGCTGTTTGCATGGCTTATTGGCCAGAGGGCCCTGGTAGCCAGGTCTTGCTGTGTCTGAAGGGACCATCAGCCAGGACTGACCCCATTCACGTAGCCAGGGCTGAGAGCTGTGTCACCACAGAGGTGGCAGCTGGCTGCTGGGGAGGAACTGGCTGTGCAAGCAGAGCACTGCAGCCCTTGTTCCCCGTGTCCCACAGCCTGTCCCCACCACACCCCATGGCCATGCAGTGCTGGGGCCACCGTGGCACGTGTCTGGCCAGTGTGCAGAGTAATTGCCTGCTTAGGGCTGACCCACTGCAGGGCCATGGCATCTTCATGGCAAAACAAAACATTTTGCCCAAAAATCAAAACAAGGTGAGTTTTTCTCTGCTGCAGCCCTCTGTGTCATCCTAGAGCAAGCTCCTGTAGGACTCCTCTGACTACCCCCTCTGCTCTGTGGCCTCAGCACTCAGGGGCACCACAAACATTCAGCAGGCAGGGGAGGCTTGCAGGAGCTGGGGGACTCAGAGTCAGTCTGCAAGCCCCCTCCTCTTTTTGTGTTGCACAGCTCGTCTGAACCTGAACGACATCGCCAAGCAACCCCGCCTGAACATCCTCAACAACGCTGCCACAGCTCTCATCTTCATCACAGTCATCCTCAACATCTTCATCACAGCCTTCGGCGTGCAGAAGACTGGCCTCTACCCTAACAGGAATTTTGGACCTTATTAATTCATGGGGCAGTGGATTCAGGTAAGAAAGGGTGAGTTCCCATCACTGCCAGCCCCTGGGAGGGCTCTCAGGCTCAGAAAACATCCCAGCAAGGCAGAGAAAGCACAAATTAACAAAGCCTTTCCAGAGGCACGCTGCTGTCCCACAAAAACCTGCAGCCACTGAACAAATTCCCTCAGAGGAGGAGGAGTTCCCCTCACTTGGTCCCTAAAGCAAGAACAGCAAACATCCCAGCTGCTGGGATTTCCCAGCGGTTTTTGGAAGGCTGCAGGGCTCGTGCTGGATACGAGCAGCAGCTGTGGGTGGGAGTTCAGAGCTAGCTGTGCTCTGGGAGGAAGCCCAAGCAGAAGGAAAGGAAGGTGCTGGGCAAGGCAGGGGGGGAAGAGCTCTTTACAACAGCACCTGTAGCTGGGCAGGGACTCTTTTAAGCACCTAATGCTCATTTTCAAGGAAGCCCTGTAAGTGCTCATCCAAATGGTTGGATGTCACCTCAGCAAGGGAATGACATGTTCTTAAATCTTAAATCTTGAAAAGCACTTCAGCTCAAGAAGCAAAATTCACATTTCTTGCTTATAACCTGCAAAATATAAACACAGTTTAAATGCAACATACCAGGGCAACAGCCAACAAGAGAGCTCAACAGACACAGGCTGTGGTGAGGATGGATGCAAAGGCCAAAAGCCTCTACAGAAACACGGCTGCTTTGGGATAGAGAGGGGCAAGGGCTGAAGAGCAGCACCCCAGACATGTGGGGCAGTGGTGCTGTGGGGCAGAGGCTGTGCCTGCTCCTCTCTGACCTGACCTTACCAGCGTTTCTTGTGTTCCCTGCAGGGTCTGAGCAGTGCAGCTCTCCTCCACTGACCTCAGCAGGAGCCCATGGACCAATGCAGAGATCTGGGTTCAATTCAAACCTCTGTGTGTGTCACAGCACACCAGCCCCTTACTGCAATGCTTCTGCAGCTCTGGGGGCTGGGAGCGCTGCCTTTCCCAGCTACAGCAAACTTTGCAAGAGAGAACTGCAGGAACAGCAGCAGGTGTACCTTGTAAAAGTGCAGTTCTGTAAATCTCTCCTTATTTTAGCTGCCTGCTTCACATATTCAATATTGGCTCATTTGCTAGAGAAAACTGAATTATTTACTTTGTAGGCTAAAGAAATAAACCCAGTCTTTTTTTTTTTTTTTGGTCTCAAATATAAGTTGATGCCCTTAAAGCAATTCTATCTAATAGTTTACCTCCCAAATGTTGGAATGGATTTCTCAAACTGAAAAAGAAGTTTTCCTAGGAGGACAGAATGGTGTGTGCACATGAAGATAACTAAAACCAGTTCAAATGTTTTCCTAGTCCTTTAAAATTAAATGTGACATAGTCAAGAAAACAATCAGGTATTTTCAGCACTGGAATATTAACAAGGACAGAAAATAGTTATTGTGGTCTGATGTCATCATCAGGGACCTATCAGGAATGATGTCAGAATAGGCTGACAATATTTAGTAGAAAATGAGGAAACATTATACATAAGGACACAGCCTAGGCTTATTGCCAAAAAGAAAAATTACAGTTGAATAGCTTATTACTTTATTAAAAAAAAAAAAAAATCACCATTATGATTTATTCTTATCACTAACATAAATGTTTTAAAATGTATTTGGTTTATAATGACAGCTCTGGTAATTCTCTTATATTAGAATAATTTGTTTCCTTAAAAAAAAAATCCCTTGAATTAATGAGCTTCAAGATTTTTATGGAAGAGCAAAAATTTTCCATCCTAAATTTTTTAACTCTACAGTCATGCTAAAAAATGGTATTTTAATAGCCTCATGTAAGCCTATTTAAATAATTCCATTCTCTTTTGATTATTAAATGATTTTTCCATTATACTGCAGAATCAGAGTTTAATATGGACTTCTCATTTTGTACATCCTCGCCATCCCTGGGAGAGAAATGCCACAAAAGCATCCTCACACCAGTCTTCAGGAGCTGCTGGGAGTGCCTGACATTTAGAAACAGATAGAGATTTCATTTGTACTCTGTATTTGACTTTCCAAACCCAAGTTTGTGTCAGTCACACACACGTGGTGCTTTTCCTGGGAGGCTGTGAATGGTCTCGCCCACGAAGGCGCTGGGTAAGGCCAGGGGCCAGCAGCACCTGACACTGAGAGACTCCTCTGAGCTGAAGCAAAGTTGCATAAAAAGGGGAGGGTGGAAAATACCAGTTATGTATCTACCAGAAGCTGAAGTGGCAAAGCTGAGCAGAGTCTGAGATCGGTTTGGGGAAGCAGGCAGAGACTTGTCCTCCACCTCTTCTCGGGGTGGCAGCTCTGGGGTGGCTCGGGGCTTGCTGCTTGCCTTGGTGCTCAGTCTCTGCTCTGACTGGCAGCCAAGGGCTGGATGTTTCTGGGAAGCCTGTTATCCCAGCCCCTCCAGACAAATGCTGTGCTCCAGAGGTGGCAGAATGAGGTGTAGGCACAGCAAAACCACAAGCCAAGAGCTGCCAGCCACTGCTGGCTAGCTGGGTTCATGGAAAGGCAAAAAATTATATATCCTGTGTGCAGACCCCAAACCCTAGGAGTCATTGCTTCACCAAGCAGGAGGCAAAGCAATTAGCATTGATGACTGAATGTAACAAGAGGGAAAAATAGGGAAGATTCAGCTGGGAAAGAAGCAGTGAGGGGAATTTCATTACCAGACCTTCACTTTGTTTCAGGGAGCTGCTGGATGGGTATGGCAGCATGTGAGGCCTGCAGGGCAGAGGGGGCTTCCTGCCACTCATCCCAGGCTAGCAAAAGACTAGCAGCACACTGGAATACTTTCCCTCCATCTCCTTTAATATTAGTAATTTCTTGTCATAGTGAAATCACACTGTTTAGCAACCCTGGCTGCCTTTTCCCCTCGCTGTGTGTGACTCCCATTGCCACCAAGCTTTTGATACTCAAGGGTGGCACAGCTGAAGTGAAAAGGGGCCAAAACTGAATTGAAATAAGAACTACTGTGAAAGAGCTGACCTCCCACAGCACAGGCTGTGCCAAGTCCAGCTTTAGGCTCCCACCTGTGGTGTCCAGGAGCTGTGTTTGCCAGGAGAACCACTGTGTTCTCCACATTCTCTCATCACATCACACCCACGCTTTGCTGCAATGTCTATTTGTCCACTGTTTCCACCTTGTTTCACCATGTTTTCAAACATAAGCCCATGTTTTGTTGCCATCCCATTTCCCATGGACTGAAGCCAGGCTCTCTGCTGGCCAGCCCTGCCCACTGCTGGCTGCGGCAGAGAGCCATCCCTCTCTGGGGTACTGCCTGTGCCTTCAGCTCGTGAGCACACCTGGATTCTGATCCCTGCTGCACACACAGGTGGGTGCAAGTGAACACACAGACACACCAGAGCTCTTGTAGGAAGACAATGTATTTATAAAACACGAGGGAGAATCTGTATATCCCCCAGCTCCAACAGAGAGGTGGCCCAGGAGTCGTCTGGAAGGCACAGAGCCACTTTAAGGCAGGTAACTCAAAGGTACAACTCAGATTTTCAACACAAGGCATCTGTATCTAAGAAACAATCAACTTCAGATATTTGTAGGCAATGAGGAGAGATGTTCATGCCAGGCAAACATCAAGACAATGATGAAACAAATCATAATTTTCACACAATACACTTTGCTCAGATGAAAAGCCAGCCCTTCTTCATTCCTTTGCTGACCTGCAAAGCAAGCCTGAGCACCACACTTCAGTGCTGAAGACACAGTCACATTCCTAGGCAGAGCCCCCTTGCCCTGCACCTCACACCTGGTGGCCTGGACTCCCCAGCCTGGCCACGTCCCACCCTGGAGAAGGTCTCTCTGCACATTGTCCATCGTGTCCCCACCACAGTGCTTCTGGAGCAGCTTGCTCCTGGCCTGGGGCAAGTAAAATCCCAAGCCACTGACTTCCTCCAGCTGTCCAGCCAGGACACAGCCAGGATGCACATGAGGGCCAGAACCTCCAGCACAGCTTCCTAAAAAGATCCTGGTGACAGAAATGTGAGCAGCTGTTGAGGGGAGTCAGCTTCCTGGCTGTGCTCTTTCACTGCACGGCTGGGGGACCTGTCCCTGCTGCGCTTCCTGCTCTCCCCCTCTGTGTGACTCTGGCTGGGGAGAAAATCTGCAGCCTCAGAGCAAAGCCCAGCACTGCTGCTGCAAGGTCTGCTGCTGGGGAGTGAGGAGGTTTTACTGCTGGCCAGTAAGCTGGGGGGTGTGGAGCCCCTTCCCTCCCTCCTTACACCTGCAGGGACCCCTCTGAGCACCAGGAGAGTTTTTGTCCCTGTGGGCTCTCCAAGCTCCTCCACAGAGGCTGCCAGTTAGTGCCAATGAGTGTTAATCACGTTTGCTACTGCAATGCTTGGATGCCAACTGAGAATTCCCTCTGAAAGGGAAGAACATTTGAGATGGCAGCTCTGACAGCAGGGAAACTGGCCATTAGGAAACTGGACTGAGAACTCCTTACATCTCCACCAACTCACGAGGTAGTTCTGCTTTCACTGGCCTGGGGTACAAGGTGTGAAGGAAGGAGTGCAGTCACAGCTGAAAAACGGGGCAGAATCCCCAAATTCTGCTGGCAGTGCTGCGCTGAGGGTGCACCCGACTGTGCTGTGCTCTGGGGTGGGGAAGGCTCACGGTGTTTGTGCCAAGTGAGTTAGCTCCTGGATGCACCCAGCTCTTGCCAGTGCCTGCAGAGGGATGCCAGCTGCTGACTTCAGGTCACATCCACGGCCAGATGTGAAAGGACACGGTACAAAGAACTGCTCCCTGTGCCTGACATGGGAAGCCAGCAGTGAGTGCTCCATCTGCAGAGCGGGCAGCAGGCTGTGCCAGCGTGGTGAGCTCCAGCTGCTCCTGCAGCCTCTCCTGTTCCACAGGCACTGCGTGGCACGGCCAGCCTGGCCAGGCCAGTCCTGGAGCCTGGAAAGGAGCTCACCTGCACACTCATGGGGCTGTGCTGGGGCTGAGGGAGCCACAGGCTCTGGCTTGCACCGGCAGCGTGACTGACGCTGCACATTCCAGGCACAAACACAGCTTATTGCAACACTGCATCACAGGGCTCTGCTCTCCCAAACTCCTGTAATACTTAAAAAAAAAAAATAAAAAATTCCAACAAACTGTTGACTGTTGTCAGCCTCTTCCCTCTCACCCCAACTGCCATGATTTAATTCCTTAGCATTTGCATGGGTGAAGTATTTTCCCTCATTAGGAAGACTGCTCTGGCTTGGGAAGCCGCCTCTTCTGGGATATTCAGTGTCTGCATTCTGGCAAAGGCTCCATGGATCAGAGACACGGTCATCTCTCCTGCCTGCTTCCCACCATGGCTGCACAATGCACAGCAGAACTTTCTGGTATCTGCTTGACTTCTAAATCCATCAGAACCCAGACTGATGCAAGCAGAGATGATTTGACACAATTTCCATCTCACGTGCCAGAACTTGTACGTTCAGTTTGCCGCAATAGCGGAACTTGATGGACTTGTCAAGCACCACAGGCCCGTAAGAAATGAATGCCTATTCTGAACTGGCATCTACTCCATCAGCAAAGAGCAAAAAAATCTAGCACCATGTCAGCTTTGCCTGTGTTCTGCATACATCCTCTACTCCTTCCCAGCAAGTCCCATGGAACTGGGCACCACGAGCAGCATACTCTGCCACACTCTCCCCTCAGGCTTGGGACCTTTCCAGCATGGCAAGGCAAAGCTGAAGCTCCAGTGGAAAGCACTGGGTGAGCCAGTTCTGGGTTTATATAGTCCTCTAAAATGGTTACTGGGTGAAGAAAAATCTTGCTTTACACTAACAGGAGTTTTAGGGGATGAGACTTCGCTGTGGCAGCAGGCCAGCTGTGGGCTCTCCCCACAGCTCTTGCATCAATGACAGCATGGGTTTGCCCATCCTTTTGTTCACTCAACCCTCTTCTGTCCTCACTGTTTGTTACACCCAGTGCATGTGCCAAGACCTGAGGCCACCTCCTCTGTACCAGGCCAGAGCTCCCAGGGCTGCTCCAGAGATGAGGCACCAACAGCTGTGCTGGTTCTCCAACCAAGAAGCCTGGTCTCCACAAAAGAGTCAAACTGTGACAAGACACACCTGTGAGGCCATAACTTATTAAATTAACTTTTAGATGCTGCATAAATGTACAGCATTTTGAGAGCAGAAGACTCCTGTCTCTCCTCTTCTGACAAATCACAATATTTCAACTAATAAAATATTGCCACTTCTTCCCTGCTAGGATTTCCCTGATATTGTTAGGACAAACACACGTCTGTCGGATAAGGCTGCAAAGTTCCTCCTGAGATGCTCTGTTAGCTTCTCTGTACAGTCCCCCCACTACCCTCAGGTGGTGGGTCAATAATTTAGGTGGAATTGTAACATCACCCTCGCCAGCTCACCCAGCTACAGGCAAACATGGCTCTTGTAAGGGAAATGTATTTGCAACTCCATCCACGGCCCATGATTTGCTGAGCACGAGCAGAGTTTTTCATAATGACCAAAGTGAAAAGCACAGAGAAACATCCAAGCACCAGCAGCCTAAAGTGCCTATCAGCTCCTCTGCACCCAGATTTCCTGAAGTCAGCACATGGGCAAGTGGGTGCAATGCTGATTAGAGAACTTTGGTCCCCTGTCCAAAACCATGGGTACTGGAGAGATGGCAAAGGAGAGGAAATGGGGACGGTTGTGGGTTCTTTTCTTTTTTTTGCATGTAAGTTTTGAAAGAGAAGCTGCGTTGCTCTAAAAAAACTGTTCTGGGCTTAGCTGGGATTTGTGTTTGTTTGGTGCAAGACTCAACAGGAACCAGGGCACCTCTCCCCCTGTACCTTCCACCAGACTGCATGGCAGGAAACACAAGTCCTTCCCTTGGAGGAGACATCTCCCCCACACGGATCCCATGGCTTGGACGCAGCGGCTGACGAGAGAGGCTCCCGCTCCGCCAGCCTGATCACCCCTTCCTCGGCTGTGCCACATCATCAGAGGGCTCTGGAGGCAGAGGAGGGGTTTGGACACTTGGCTGTGTGCCCCAGTAAAGTGCACATCTGGATGAGATGCTGGACAGCTCTGGGGTTGAAGGCTACGCTGTCTTCAGCTGGCGCCGGTTCCACATGCCCCGCTTGGAGTGAAACCAGTGGAAAAAGTTTCTCAGGGAGAGACGCTCCACTTCCAGCCCAGCCTGCAGGATCCTGGCAGAAAGAAGAGCAGACTTAGGGAAAACTTCTTCACAAAGGTGCTGAGGGACTCAGCCACAGGGAAATTCTTTTTTAACTTGTGCTGTTGACAAGAGACATCAAGCAAATTGGACAGCCCAGAATAGCTGAGGGGTATCCTGAATCCAAAATAACCAGAATCTAATGACACTTTCTGAGGGTTTATGCACCCTTGAGAGCAGGACTGGTCAGAAGTGCCTGCATATGCCAAGACAGGAGGATAGATGGCTGGCAGCACTGGATTGCAGTCAGCTGACAGAAAAGACAGGGCAGGGCCCAAACCCCACAACTACAAACCCAGGATTTGTGCAGTGAAGATCCCTCACCACAAAACCCTCAGAAAATTTAACTGTACCTCATAATCTCTTAATCCCTCTCCACCAGTTGCTCTTCAAGACAATTCAGTTGCTAAATGTTATATGGGAAATGTGAGGGACCCAGACTGTGCCCTGCAGTACAGACTCTCCCTCACTGGCCAGGGTTATGGTGGCAGTAGTCATCTCAATCTCCCTTAGATCCCCACTCCAGTGGTCATTGGTTCTCCAGGATCTGATGGGCTTCCCCCCTGAGCACTTGAACAATGACAATGGATGCCTACCTGTCCAGGAGTTCCCAGTCCTCTCCTCCCCAGCGGTCCCGAAACTCTTTTGTGTTCATGCCTCCAATTTTGTCCAGGTCAGACTTGTATATGCCCAGGAGACCAAACCCATTCACCTCCCAGTAGCCTGAGGAGAGCACAGAGGAGGCACAGCTTTTGTTGGGGTTTTGAACCACTGATGGCTCCAGCAGAGCTGCTGGAGTGACACTCAAGCTGCTTTTGGCACAATGTTGACACCAGGGAGTAAACTCGGCACCAAGGCAGAGCCAACCACACCAGCCAGCTCTGGGACTGAGAAAGACTTGTGGACAGACAGCACGGTTAGCAGACAGCTTGTTAGCAGAGCCTCTCACATCCCCTGTCTGCCAACACAATTCCTGGACTGTCCCAGCTTCCCAGGGCTGTCCCTGTGCCTGGAGGCTCAGGAAGGCCACCTCTGACTAAAGGAAATCCTATACTGTACCACTTTTCTCCCTCCAACCTGGCTTATTTCCCTCCCCCTGGTCTATCAGCTGTCCTCAGGACAGGCTGTGCCCCCAAGAGAAGAGAGAGATGGACAGGCAGCAACAAAGGACAGCTTTTCCCAGGAATCCATAAAGAGCCCTAGGAGACAACCAGGAGAAACATCAGGCAAAGGGCTCTGCTAGCTTTTTGATCTCAAATTCCAGGTACCTGATGCTGTTAAACCCCATCCTATGTCTAACACTCGCTCACCCTGTGGACCTGGCAGTACCTCAAGCTCCAGACCCTGGCAGTGCCAGAGCAGCAAATGTAGAGGAGGCAGGCACTTTCTTCTTTCCCCATTTCCCAAAGTCTGAGCCCTCTTACCGTCAGGCCACTGTGGGGACATCCCACAGTGCAGCCTCATGACCATGGGAGCAAAGGCCATCTTGCCTTCCACGCAGTGCTTCCTGATGGAATCAATGATTCCAGCTGGGAAGTGGATGTGGAGGTCACACAGGAAGACAATGCTGTGCGGGTCCTGGAAACAAAAAAATAGGTTGGCTTTCAGTCAAGCAGGTAAACCGCTCTTGAGGGGAAGAAAAACAAAAATATGGAAGTCAAAATGTCATTAATGCATCAGAAACTGAGATCCCAAGGGCTGGCAAATTGTCCCCTGAGTGGCTGTTCAGTGATGAGTGTGAAACACCACAACTGTGACCTGGATCACAAAGCTGCTCCTGCTGACTTCCCTCCTGTCTGACAGCCCCAGCAGGTGGACCAAGAATCAAACGGAGCACAGGCTCCTCAGAATAAAGAGAACCTTACCCTGGAAGGACAGGAAACACATCTACATCTGAACTGGTCTGCTAGGCTATTCCCTTCCCCAAAACAAAGGCAACACCAGACACAGAGTACAAGCCCCCTGCCCCCCGAGGTCCCCAGACTCACCGTTATGAGGTCTATCCCTGCCTGCAGCCCAGCAGAACGCTCAAAATTCCCTGTCAGCTTCAGGTACTGATAGCTGGGGGTCAGAGGGGAAAGGGAATGTCAGTGGCACAGGAGGCACCATCGCTGGCCTGTGCAGCTGCCCTCGCCCCCTGCACCCTCTGAGGCACAGAAAACCTTTGCTGGGGAAGTGCACAAGCCCAGCACTGCTCCCAGTGTCCCAGGGTGTCTTTCCCCTGAGCAGAGCCTAGCAAAACTCTTCTCAGCTCTAGCCCAGCTCTAGGGCCAGACCTGGAAACTCCTGGCACGTAATGGAGCCAAGGCTGTTCCAGATCAGAGCAGGGTCATTCCAGCAAGCAGAGGTCTCTGTCCCACTTCTCACAGCTGCCCTGTCTGCTCTGTCCTCCCCCTGCCCCATCACTGGGACACTTGCTTTCTCTTCTCTCTTGCAATCTTGAGAAAAGACACAAATTCAATAAATTTAGCTGGAAGACAACACCAGGTACTGCCTAACACCTTTCCATGCATATATATGTGTATGCACATCATAACAAGAACATATTCTTGTGCATGTGCAAGGTGTGGATGATGGGGCCTGCAGTGTTCCAGCTGCAGCAGGCTGTGCCTGGCCAACACTCAGAGACTGCCAGATGAGCTATTTGCAGGCATCCGTGTGTGAGTGGCATTTTGTGAGCAAGCAGTACTCCCACCTGTGCAAGGTAGACCTTTTCAGAGCCCTCTCGACATCCATGTCATCACTGCTGTAGTCTGTGATGATGATGCTGAAGTAGGGATCCTTGGTGACTCGGAACAGCTCTTCCATGTCAGAGATGAACTGCAGTACCCAACGTGCCTGGTTTTTCACTGGTTGTATCGCAATGGGAGAGATCCAAAGCAAACTGATTTCAATGGTGGGGTTTGCTCTCACCAGGCAAGGCTTCTTGCCCTCTGTTAATCCCCAACAACCTTTCAGGGACGATGAAACAGGCTGAAAGCCTGGTCCACAGCGCCAAGGAATCAGTGTGGGTTCTTTCCCACCATGTGACAGGGTTTTTCTCGGAGCTTACAAGGCCCTACCATATTTCTGAGGGTACTTAACTTGGAGAGAACAGAAATTGGAAGTGACCCAAGTAAGATGGTTGAGTCCAGGACTGCCCTCATGGGAACCCCCACGGTGCCACCCCTCCACATCCCGGGGTGACGCAGGTCCCCTCACCTGGCACCACGAAGTGAACCACGGCCCGGTGGTTCCAGGAAAAGCCCTGTGGCCAGCACAGCTCCGGCTCGTTGGCCGCAGCCATCAGGTGCCGCCGGCGGCCCCAGGCCAGGCTCCTCATCCTCCTCTCGTCCTCCTCGCGGCCACTGCCCTGCCAGCCCCGCGCGAAGACGTACTCGGAGAGGCGGACGCGGCGCTCGCCCTGCTCCAGCAGCTCCAGCTCCAGCAGGTAGCGGCTGCCCCGCACGCGGTCCTGCCGCTTCTCCACGTTGACGATGCGCTGCAGCTGGAAGCGCCTGCGGGACACACGGCTGGCCTGGGCACCCCTGGCCACCGGCCCTCTCCCTCCTCCCTGCCATTCCCAGCTTCCCCCTGCTCTGCTTCCCCAGTCCCATGGGAATGCTTAGCACCTGCTTCTCCTAAATCCACACACATGTGGGATTAGACCTGGGACTCCAGCCAAGAGAAAATATTTGGCAAGAGAAATGAAATAAAGGTGACGCAGAAAATAACAAATGTGTCTGAATGATTGTGTAGGGCTGGTAATAGCGAGTGTATTCAACACCACCTACAACGATCTTGGCACAAGGAGTGTGTTTGGGCTACTGAAACCGGCTCGTGACAGCTCATCAAACAAGAATACGCAGTAGGACTGAGCAATCATACAGTAAAAACTGTCAGGAGCTGTAGATTAAGAATGGCCAAAACTGGGTGAAATGCCAGGTCATTCCCTTTCCGATCATAACAAAGAGTTCCTGCTACGAAATAGATGCTCGTGAGTTAAAAATCCTGAGAAAATCTTGTGTGTACTGATCAGTTACACCTGGCTGTGACTGAAGTGACCCTGAAAAGGCAAATGTGATCTTAATATGTAGCATTAGGCCTACTTCCAGCAGGGATTAGAAGCTAATAACACCTGTTCCATAAAACATCCAGGATACTGGTCACTTATGTGTGGGAAGATTAACACCAACTGAAACCTGCATGGAAAAAGACTGGTAAAAACAGCCCAACAGAAGGGAGAAGGAGTTGGACTGTTCAGCTTACAGAGGTTATAGGAAGTGTGTCTGTTTGCCAGAAGGGATGGTAAGCCTTGAGCAGAAAAAGAACCGTACCCAGACCATCTAACAAAAAATTACCAACCAGCAAAAAGCTGGTACCATTTCTCAGGCAAAAGAAGCGTGCCTGAAGTCCAATGTTTTACCCAGATTTCTCACCTGAAATCTTATTTACCACATCTAGTTCATCCTCTGATTCTCACCAGTCACTCACATAACAGCTATTCCCCATGCAGCACGGTAATCCAGCCCTGGGACAGTGCCCCTTGGTTTTCTCACTATGCCTTACCCTTTACTCCTCTGGTTGAGCTTCCTCAGGAAGACACGTGTGACTTCCAGGGCCTCTCTTTCTCTCAGCAGCAGGTTTCCCGAGGTGTTGCACTTCAGGTCAATCCAGTCCGTGCGCAGCATGTGGAAGTCCAGGTTGCTCATGCTGAAGGTCTGCTCCCAGTTGACTGCCTGGTCAAACACTGGTACGTAATCAAAATCCTCCTCATCTTCCTCCTCTGGCTCCCCATCCACCTCCTCCTCTCCTGCTGCTCCTCCAGGCTTGTCCTCCACAGGAGATGCCACGTGTGCCTCTCCTGCAGCCACATCCCCATTGTTGGCCGCCTGCTGCTCAGTGATGTGGGGCTGCACGTGGCTCAGCCACTGGGGCACTCCTGGCTGCCAGCTGGGGCTCCCGGCTTTGCCAGAGACCCGGCCTCCTCTCGTGGCTGGCACAGGCTGCAGCCCGTCCTCCACGCTGCCCAGGCCTCCTGGGGGTCTGACCCCCTTGGGAATTGTGACCTCTGAGTCCCTGGGCTGGCCAGGGGACTGCTGCCTTTGAGACACAGCCCTAGAGGGAGGGTTTGTCCCTCTGGCAGGCACTCTCCCCTGCGTGGCCCTGGCGTGCTGCGGAGGGCTCCTGGAATTGTCTTTGACGCCGGCTTTCAAACGGGGTCTCTCCGTTACCGGGTTCCCCTCTAGGCCAGTCAGGCCGAGGCTTTGGTTGGAAGAGGCCAGCATGGCTGATTTGACAGCAAAACTTTTAGTCCTTCTCCTCCTGTGTATGTCCTCTCCTGCACCGCCACCCAGCACGGAGAGGAGCCGGCGGCGCTCCGGGATGGAATAGTCGCGGTGCGTATTGTCACCTGCTGGCTCTGCGCCCACCGGGGCACCAGTGCTCTCCACGTCCTGCTCCTCATACTGCAGGTCATCCAGGTTCCCCTCCTGGGAGTCTGGAGGAATCAATCAAAGTTACACCTCTGGCATCCTCTGCTGCCTCCCCCAGCCTGTCCTGCCCTGCCCAGGCACCCCCAGGCATGTGGCAGCCACTTCTGGCCCCCTCTCAGCGCTGTCTCTCCTGCTCAGAGGGACAGGGCTGCTCTCCCACGTGGGAGCCCTGCTCTTGTTGCCACCAGCCTCCTCAGCAGCCATCACCCACTGCTGTCTGGCTTTGCCCTTAGGGTAGGGCAGGTGTGACCAGAGGCTGCCACACTGCACACCACTGGCTGTGCTACTCCTGCCCGTGCTTCTGCTAGAACTGCACCTCAGCTAAGCTGTGGGCCTGAGAGCTCTCATGCTGTCTGCTGCAGCCACCACTGTTTGGTGAGCTCCCAACCTGCCCTTAAGGAAAGTAAAAGTGGCAGCAAAAGTCTCCTCCCTGACACAGCAATCCAGCAGGGAAAGGCTGAGGCTTCCTTGGTATGGAAAGCCAACAGCTTCTTTCAGCTGGTGCTGCAAGACCACGCTCAAAAGTGACAGGTAAAAGGATTCTCTGGGTCCTGACATGAGGGCCCCTACCTGGCTGCTCTGTCTTTTCTCCAGAGTCCAGACTCTTCTCTGTCTGATCCATTTTCATGTACTTGTAAAATCCAAATCTGCAGACAGAAGAGCAAAACACAAGTTTGATGAAAGCTACTTTGCCCTTTCCTGGAAGAAGGAAGAAGATCCTGAGCACAGGGAGGCCATAATCAGCTATCTCACTGGGAAAGTGACCCTCCTTATCCTGCAAATGAACTCCTCCTGAATGGCTGTGAGTCCTTGCACAAGGTGTCTGATTGTTGCAGCAGGGAGCATGCAAGCAGCAGTTCCCTTGTGGGGCCACCCCTGGGATCTGGGCACCAGTGAAGATGAGTGACACACATTTCTTCCCCCAGAGAGAGGCTTGGGGGTGAGCATCGTTTGGTTTCCACACTGACAGCCACAGCAGGCCAAGCTTGCTGGGAATACACTCCCTGATGTAAGAGAACAAACATGCTCTGACTCAGCTACTGGGTTAACAGTGCAAGAAAAGCACTGGTAGTTTCCCCTTGAGACTAAACATATTTTCACTTAAGTTATCAAAAGAAACTATAAATGTTTTGATGTTTTGCAAGACTTAGGGGATCTTTAAGAATTAAGAAAGTCCTGCAGAAGTGAACATGAAATTCCACACCAATTCCAGCCTTCAAGCTCCTCCCCACCCTGCTGCTAAACCCAAATTTACAGCATGCTACCTTTCCAAATAATAAGGGTTTTCCTGGTAGAAGCATTTGTTGTCCTTCTCCATGTGGCTCAGGCGGCTGTAGTCATTTGGGTAAACAAAAGATAAATGAACCTGCGAAGAAGAGAGAAAGACAAAGTGAAACCCCCATAAATGCCAGGTATCAGTCCCAAGGTGACCCAGACATGGCTGCAGGGTACCCAGCCCTCCTTAGGGGGAGCAGGAGTTGCTCACTCTTTGCCTCTCCACTAGCAATGTGAGAATGGAAGACAGAAGGAAGCATGCAAGGATTCATGTATGGGTGTGCCTTCCACCCTCTCCCTCAGCGTCTGCCCACCCCTCTAACTGTGAGCTCAAGTCCTACAACAGAGTGAGAACTAACTGGGGTCAGGTGGCCCAGCCCTCCAGAAGAGACATCCATGGCTCTAGTAACCCACACACAGAGAAGGAAATCCTCAGCCACGGTGAGACCCCTGCAGGGCACGCTCAGGCCCCATGGCTAACGGGATCTCCTCCTCCCTGTGCATCCCTGGGCAGCAGTGGGTAAGAGCTGGAACTCACGAACTGCAGTCCCTGGTAGCGCTGCAGCGGGAATCCGTTCACCAGGTAGCTGGGCTTGTACGGGCAGTCCGGCAGCGCCCGGCGCACGTGAGCCCGGCTGAGCACAGGCACTGCGGGGAGGAACACACAGCCAGGGCTGCAGGAGGAGCCCTGCTGCAACCCACGCACCAGCACAGCTGCTTCTGACCCCGGGTTCCCTTTTAAGAAACAGATTGAACAAACCTTGCACAGCTCAACTCTTTCCATTCCCCTAAGACGCTTCCACAAAACTGCGCTCGGGGATGTTGTGGGAGCCAGACACTGAGAATGAGGAGCTGGCTTTGGTCTGTGCTTTGTCCCAGCAGTGACTGATACCACAGCTGCCCCTCTCTTTTGCACCAGGGATAAAACAGCATGGCCTGGGTAACTGCAGTGCAGGAGGACAGCCCTTCCCAGCCGTGCTCCTGCACAGGCTGCCCTTACCTTCTCAGCTGCTTCGCACATCTTACCTTCATAAAGAGTGTCCCGGGGGTCAGGCTTCAACATGTCAGCTGGGTGTGCCCTGCTGCCAGCACTGCCAGCAGCCTGGCTCCTGCCACTGGCCAGCGTCTGCGGGATGTGCCCAACCTCATCCATCTTCAGAAGTGTCTCATCTAGAAACCAGAGACACAGCACAGGGGGGAGGCAGGGGATAACTTGCTCCTCGCCCCAAAAAGCACCTCTCTCCAGTGTCAGCCCTTTGCAAGTGGCAATGCATCCTGCAAATCCATCTCTGCACAGGCAAAGGAAAGGCTCTGACCCAGGAAGCTGGAGATACAGAAGCTGTGGGGTGGGAAACACCCACAGGGATGGGCAGTGGAGGAAAATGACCTCCTGCCATGGGTACACCAGCAGCAGTGTGCTGAACAGGGCCCGTGCTGGCAGGAGCTATGGGACACCTCTCTATTATTAGTATTATGTTTCTTCTCAAAGGACATAAAGAGAGATGAATGGGAGGAGGAGAAAGCTGAGGAGCAAAGCTCAGGACCTTGGGGAAGGACCTTCAGTGGCTGAGGAGGATGTTACTCCAGAAAGGGAATGAAGCCCCACAGTAAGCCAAGAGCAACAGGAAGCTCAGACTCGAGACTGGATGTTGGTTACATTTTTCCTCAGTTGCTGCTGTCATAGGACTTCGTGTCTCCATGGATCTAACTTTAAAATGAGGGCAATTGAATAAATATCCATGAGGGAAAAGCAATATCCTGCCAAGGGCAGCGGTGTGCAACTCTTGGGTACTGAACTACGTGGGGCCCCAGAAAGAATGGATGTCATGTGAGACAGCCAAAGGCTACTGTGAACAAGGGAAAAACCATGGGCAGAAGGCAACAGACAAAAACGAGACTGCAGCACTGCACCTAATCGTGAAGGGATCTCCTGGAATGCCAGTCTTCTATTCTACAGGTAATTAGTGAGATGAAAAGAACAGAAGGAAAAAGGAGGAAGATGGAAATCCTACCCTAGGAAGTGGGAATGGAATGGAGGAATGGAATGGAAAGCCTATCCTGGTCAAATGGGAGGTTTCAGAAAATACAGCAGCAGGTTGAGATCCAAGACACGGCAAACAGATGTCTTGATTACATCAGGAAGTCTTCCATGCACTAAAGGGCTGGTATGGAAAAAAGCCCAGAAATGTTGGAAGGCAACAGCAGCAGATATGGAAAGGGGGAATGCTGGCAGAGGAAAGTGATGCTGACAAAGCTGGGTAAGGGTAAACAGGACTAAGGAGCCTCTTAACTGATAACACCTTCACTTGATGTGCTAAGAAGGGTTTACAAAACAGGAGGGACTGGACTGATGTGTTTGTAGCAATCCAGCACCAGCTCAAAGAGACTTGAGGCTGGTACAGAAGAAAGCAGCATCCCCCAGCACTGCCAGTGTATCCTGCTGTGTTCAGGACCCAGAGTGAAATCTCCTCAAGTGCCACAGCTGCTCCTTCTCCCTGCTTGTGTCCAGCTGGCAGCACCCTCACAGCTCCCATGCTTTGGGACTCACGTTCCCCCTGGCTCTCAGCAAGCAAACTCCATCCTGTGTTACTCTCCATCTACAACACTTCTCACCCTTGCAGGCTCTCCTTTCTGCCCTTCCTCACTTCCTCCAGACCTCCCTGAAATAAGGGTCCAATCTCATTTCCGAATCTCCGGTGTTCAACGGTGAGTCACGCCCTTGTCCAGAAGTCTTTCTCCTGAACTGTCTCCACCTTTTCCTCCCAATGATGTGTATGCCTGCTATCTGCCTGGCTAGACAATGATTCATGGTGAAACACTGGATGCTGATACATTTAGGAAGAATGGGGAGGTGCTTGGGAAAACTTGTGATGAAGATACTTACTAGCAAAAAGGGAGAGATACTGGGAGTCGATGACTTTGAACTTTGCTTCTGGGTCATTCAGTCTCCACTGGAACAGAGAAACACATTAAATTGAAGCACCTGTGGAATTAACAGAGCCTGAACAAAAGGAACACGCTACCCCTGCTAGGACCAAATTTACCCAGCAGCCAAAGACTGGGAACGAGCTGAGATCTCCCAGGACACATCCAAACCAGGAAAGGCCAAAAAGCTGCAGCAGACCCCAGAGAAGGCAGATCTATCCCAAGCAAGCAGAGGAAGGGGTCCTGATACGTGGCCAGGACTATCCCACACAGAAGGAGGTAAGGGCTCTGGAAGGGATTAGCTACATCTCATGCAATGAGGAGCTGAGGCCAGGGAAAGGAGGGAAATGGTTCCAAACATCATTCCCGAGCTCTGTATACGGGACCAGCATTTCCACAGACTCACTGCAACTTCCACATGGTCTGTCCCTCTGTCATCCTGCTTGTGCAGCACCTCGAAGTAATACCTGCCTGCCGCTGACAACCTGGGAAGAACAAGGTGTCTGTCACCAGGAGCATCAAGGAACATTTCGTAGCTTGTCAGCAGACAATGAGTGGAGAGCAACCACACCCATGAAACAACCTAATTCTCAGGGTAGGCAGGGTGAGCCCTGCCAAGAAGATCCAGATCCTGACAGTGAGATAGGCAGCTTCACTTGTGCACCTGGAGCACTCCAGACCCTTCTCAGTTAATTCTGAGGAACTCCCCCTCAGCATTACCTGCTGGGTTTTGGCCTCTGGGAAACCTGGCCAGTTCCAAGGCAGGAAGCTTGGGATATAGCTCATGGAGGGGAGCCTGGATGTGCTGGTGGCTGATTGCTCCAGGGAAGAAAAATTCAGTGTTGCATTCCTGCAGTAAATCAGCAAAGCTTTGGCAATACCCCAGAATAATCCCTTGCTCTGTGTTGCTAAACTCTTCAGGACAAGCCTGACTGCTTTTCCCTTGTCCTTGTGATTTCCTGGTCATGTGCAGAGGTGGCTGGGACGGAGGGACTTTGCTCACTCACCTCACCATGTTTGACTTCTGACTGTGAAATTTCCCAAACTCTCCTGGTGCAGTCCACTCCTTCCCTGTCTGTGAAGAGACAGAAGATAGCTCTACTTAAGATGAGTTTCTTCCCTTGTTACTGCACTGACAATGATAAAAAGGGAAAATTGAACTCCCTCTTCCCTCTAATTCCTCCTGGTAAGTCATCTGTGAAATCCTTCACCTCTGGACAGATTTAAGTCCCTTAATTTGAGCAAGGGACTCCCAGTTGCACTACCAAGAGGCAGCTGGCTTAAGGTATCGCATGTCACACCCCATCTGGTGTCTGTGCTGATGCTGTCTGGAGCTGGGCAGGGGAAGAAACCTGGCTAGTCCAAGGAAGCAGTAAGTCAGAAGGGTCCCTTTTCCCACAGAAACATTAAAGCCTCAATGGCACAACCTTGCACTGTACCTTGCCTACACTGGCCAGCAGCTGGAGACCAGAGGGTTTTTCATCTGGACTCAGCCAGAACTCAGCATTGTCATCCGCAGCAATGGCAAACTGAAACTCCCCTGTGGAGAGATGGAGGGAGTAAGTAGGGCTTTGGGGTAAGGGCTTGTGCACAGAACAGACCCTGCTCCTGTAAAATGCTGTCTCTGCCCTTTTTCCTGGTGAGATCATCATTCCCTTTTGGTACTGTCACCTTCCCTCCTTTGAATCTCTGTGAATTCTCATAACTCTGCTGTGAGTGAACACAAACTTTACAGATGTCACTGGTTCACTGTCCCTCCTGCACTGGCCTCCCCTGACATCTAACCTGGAAAGAGAGGAAGTCTATGCAAAGCCTCCCCTGACACCCCTTTCACTTCCAGAGCAAACTCTTGTGTGAGACGCAGTGTTTGCACGGAGGAGCGTGCCCAGGGAGCCACAGAGGGAGACAGAGGTGCTTGAGGCTCACTCTTTGTCTGGGGTATGGGATGGCAGCTGCAGGCCAGGGCCGTGCCAGAGGCCGTGCCAGCTCGGGCCAGGGCCGTGCAGCTGGGGACACAGCTGGGGACACAGCTGGAGCCACACACCGGGGAGCAGCAGGGAGCTCACGGACAGCCCTGGCCCAGCTCAGACAGGGCTCGTGCCCACACACACGCCGTGGGGCTGAACATTCCAACAGCACTGTTATTTATCCAGCACTCCCATCTGCTTTCTCCTGGCCTTGTCCCTTCCACCCTGCAAGGAGGAGGCAGATGTGCTTCCAGCCGTGCCGAGGCCGGTCACACACACACCACGTGAAGGAGCCGGTGCTGGGCTTGCCAGGGTGAGGCCACCAGAGGCCCAGCACCAGCAGGGGAGGGAGGGAGGGGAAGGTGACAAGAGACACGAGTGAAGGCACTCAGAGCCCTCACCATCGGTGAAAGGATGCAGGTAGCCAAATATCCGGAGACCGTAGTTGGTCCATTTTGGAGACACAGCCAACTTCTTCAGCGTAGTTCTTGTCTGAAGAAGAAAAAATTCATAAAAGTAATTTTGGATGTGACAGAGACAAGGGGAGAATCAAAACCCCTGGGACAGGTGGGCAGAGGGTTTTCTCTGAGAGGAGGATGGGGTATGGGATGCAGTGGAGGCAGAAGGAAAGAGCAAACCAAGTAAGAAAAGAGGTGGAGCAGGTGCTGCTGAGAAGGGAAAAGCTGCATGGGGGATGTCATTGAGATGGTAGGGACAGGATGCAACATTCCCCAGCCACTTGGAAGGAGAGCACCAAATCCAGGCTCCTGCAGCCCGTGTGTGAGCCCTGGCAGGCCAGCATGTGCAAAATGACCCTCCCTGTGCAGCAGGACAGCTGCCCCCTGCACCCTTGGGAAAGCTTCCTGCTCCCTCAGCAGAGAGAGAGAAGGAAGCTGAGAGGGAGGGGGTGGATTTTAACAAAGAGCAGGACAGAGGGAGGTAGGGACAGGCCCTGAAGGGAGCAGGGGTGATCCACCTGGGAAGCTGGGCTGGGAAGTGCAGGACAGAGGGTGTCATGTCCTACTCACGTGAGGGAAGAGGGGGAAGTGCAGGTTTCTCCTGAGCTGCTCGATGGTGCTGCCACACCAGTCCTCAAACACGTGCAGGTTGGCCTGGCCCTGGAACTGGAGGGCAGAAGTGGGGCACCATGAAGTGTCACATCCATCCCTGTGTCCCTCCCCTGCTGCCTTGGCCTCGGCTGGGAGAGTGAGGGGAGATTCCTCTGCTGTGAGGGGCTGCTCTGCAGGAGACACGGGTCCAGAGCACCACTGCTCATCTGCTGAGGGTGTGGGGCTGGCACACACGACTCAATGGCACCAGGGAACTGTGCCAATGCCAGGGACACCTCAGCTCCATGGCTGGGGTTCGCTCCATCAGGGAGGTGTTTGAGCAGAGGCCGTGCTCTGAGGCCGTGGTGTGGGACACACTGAGGGGTCACAACAGCTCCTCACGGCGTAACGTGCTGCAAGAAGGTGCTTTGGGCTCCCTCACCATGCCAGGGCTGTTCTCCTGACCTGAGGAGGAGGGGACACCCCAGGGAGGGGAGGTGGCAGATTCCCCTCTCAAACATGTCCCCGAGGCGAGGCTGAGGGGGGACGGTGGGGACAGGCCGCTGGAGGCCGGGCAGGACGGGGTGCAGCAGCACAGGTGGGGCAGTGGGGCAGCTCGTGTGCCTGCAGACACCCAGCAGCACTGAGGGAAGCGGGGCTGCCAGGGGCCAGCTGACACCTGGAGCACAGCTGGGCTGGGAAAGGCTCGCTGGCCACTGTGGGGCTTCAGCAACACACTCCCCAGAGGACAGACTTTCTTTTTGTCAGAGCCATTCAGAAGGGAGTCGCTGTCTGCCCCCCAGCAAAGCCCAAGCTTTCTGCCTGCAAGCAGTGGAGCCAGATGCTGAAACCCTCCTTGCAGGACTGGCATCCAACAGTGAAGAAAAAATCATCTGAGATGGTACAAGCTACCTTAGATGGCAAAACACAGGAAAGGAATAGGTTGCCTTGGGAGCAGGGAGGTTCTGCTGTGGCTGTCTTGCCTATATAAGGGCTGTGGGAGCAGGGCTGGGGAACAGCCTGAACAGCAGCCACAAGTCTACAGATGGCAGCAAATTCTCAGTTTTCAGCAGGGACACTCTAGCAGGCCTGAAGCAGCACAGTGGAGGAGGGTCCAACCTCTCCATGCACTTCTGCCAGAGAAACTTCTTCACCGAGTTATTTTTCCCAGGATGGTGGGTTGGGGGTGTGTTTTGAAATAAAGTGTGGCATGAAGGAAGGCCGTGAAGCAGATGTGCCTCTGCACCAGCAATGCTCCTTGCGAGCTGTGGACTTTAGTCATGCACATGGAAACCATTTCTGTGTGCCAGGCAAAGCACACTCACAACCAGCACTGCTCTGGAGCAGCCTCCTTGACTCACTGATGTTCCCACTGCCAAGGCTCCACGGATGTCTGCAAGCCCACCATGCCCCCCACTAACATCTCCTCTGCTGCCATCCCTCAGCCTGCATTCTGGCCACCAGACAAGAGCAAAAGCAGCGAGACAAAGTGCTCAGAGCAAATCAGAGCACAGCCAGACAGAGGGCTCAGGGCGATGGATGCAGCCCAGGGAAAGCCAGGGCTCTGCAGGAACTTGTGACACAAACAAACCACTGCAAACGGGACAAGCACTGAACTGGAAACACTGAATTGCTGTGCAGCCCCGCTCCCCTTGGCCAAACCCAGGTTCACACCCAAGGCTCTTACACTGCTTTTCTCAGCCAAATCAAATAATGACAACTGCTGTTTCCTGTGCAACATGAAGTGAGAGGACAGGCTGGGCTCCCAACAGAGTCACTGCCAGCAGCTGAGTCCTGTGGAAGTCATAAGTGATGCTGGCTTTTTTCTTTCTGGAGGATTGCTTGCACACGGCAGAGAGCAGGCTCAGAGCTCTATGAAATGTAGCACAACACTCCCACACTGTGGACAGGCTGGCACTGCAGACCACTCCTGCCAAAACCAGGCATCATCTCAAAGCTCGGGACTCCAGTGAGGCTGGGCTGGCTTTGACATGGGGCAGCCCAAATGCAAAACCAGATCTTTATGAGGCAAGCCCCAAAAGACACTCTGGACTTGCTGAAATGTCTGCAGAGTAAAACCTGGACCAGTCCCATTGCAATACAACACTCCACTGCAGTTTGGCAGGATTAGGGAGGGGGCAGCCTAATAAAAAGTGAGGCAGACGCCACAGTACAAGGTGCACCATCAATACTTAAAGAGATAATTCCTGAGACTTCTAGCCCAACACTCCTGCCTCCAAAGTCTTTACAAAGCCTCCTGAGAGGAGATTCTGGCAGGAATTAACGAGATCACTTTGCTTTCCTGCACTCACAGCCACTAGAAATAGTTAACTGGTAAATGATAAGTACTGCTTGCATGTGATTTTAAAATCTTTTCTAAATCAACAGATTTTCTCCTGAGTTACAGCAGCTTAACTTAGTTTCCTCTTAAAGTGAAAAAAAGAACATTATTGACAGATAAGTGCTGGCTGCCCAAAGCGCTGCTTTGGGACTGAAAGCCGAGCTAGGCTTTAATTTTAGGGCCCCACAAGTCATCAGTGTAGCAGCTGTTTTGAAACTCTATCATCTCTGTCCCTCCAACTCCACTCATAGCTGCCCATTACAGGCAGCTGAGAAATTCTTCTGTTTGCTCCATGAGCGTCCTCTCATGCAACATGCCCTAAGAATCTCCTGCTTGGGGCTTTTGCAGATTGCAGTTAGAGAGCAACATCACCACCATTCCCAATTCATGTGCGCTGAAATGTCAATGGATCTTCTAAAACATGCTTTATAGAATATGATTCTAAAACAGGGTTACCATGTTTGACTTCCCAGCTTGGAACTACCTGGCCCTGTTTTACAAAGGGTTGGAAATTTAGGAGCTAGCAAGCAACAAGTTCCCCCTCTCCCCTTAAAAACATCTGCTTTGAAAATTCTGGATAGACTGATTTGGCCATAACCAGGAACAGAAGACATGGGTGTGAGCTTTCAATGGGAGCTGGTTTTATCTGACCTTCCCATTTAGAGGGCTTCTCCTGCCCCAGAGGTTTCTCTCCCTGTCCCAACACCTCTCCCCAGCTGCTTCTCACCCTGCTGAAATAGCAACAGGGCACGATGCCAGCTCAGGCCCAGAGCAGGCACAGGTCACACACCAAGGGCACAGCATAGCTCAGTGTGAGTGTGCCCTGGGGCACAGCTCAGTGTGAGTGTGAGTGTGCCCTGGGGCACAGCACAGCACAGTGTGAGTGTGAGTGTGCCCTGGGACAGCTCAGTGTGAGTGTGCCCTGGAGCACAGCTCAGTGTGAGCGTGCCCTGGGACACAGCTCAGTGTGAGTGTGAGTGTGCCCTGGGACAGCTCAGTGTGAGTGTGCCCTGGGGCACAGCACAGCTCAGTGTGAGTGTGCCCTGGGGCACAGCACAGCACAGTGTGAGTGTGCCCTGGAGCAGGGAGGGCAGTGTGCCCTGGAGCTGCTGTCCCCAGGGAGGCCAGGCTGACTCCCTGGAGCACAGGGCTGTGTGGTGATGGGCGCAGTGCCAGCGGTGATGGGCGCAGTGCCAGCGCTGTCCCCGCAGGGAGAGCTGATCCCTGCAGGGCAGGGAGGGCACAGCTGGGCCAGGCCCGTGCCCCTGCAGGCTGTGGCAGCGTGGCTGAGCCCCAGTGCCGCTGGAGCCGTGCCTGCCTGCAGCCCTGCAGGAACACCCCAGTGCTTCCCCTCCTTCCAGCGAGACGTGGTGGATCATCCTCCCTGCTGGAGAACCAGGATCAGCTTCCCAGACAGCCCAGAGCTCTTCCCAGCCCAAACCCTGCCATGTCACACCTGGCTGGGGGTGGCACCACGTACCCAGGGCTCCTGCTGAGCAAGGAAGATCAGCAAAGCTGAGAGGATTGCAGCAGCACAGACACGACCTCCTGCCCTGGAGCTGGAGCAGGATGGAGAAGAGAAGGTTTCCCTAATTTAATGCAGGGTGGCTTTGGCATCACAGAGGCGAATCAGCTGCGTAGCTGCACGCAGCCCAGGGAATGATAAACAGGGCACAGAGAGGGCCTGAGCCAGGGAAGAAAGGCGACATTGTGCTGCCAACTAGAAACTCCTGAGTCTGTGAGACTCTTCTGTCTCCTCAGAGGGGCTCCTCCTCCTGCCTGGCCCAGCTCCCCTGCCTGGGTGACATCCAGCAGCTGGGCCTGGCTGTGAGCTCTGCCCTGCTGGGCACTTGTGGGGATCCAGCGAGGCAAGGCAGCCACACAGCCCCGTCTGATGGGCACCAGCACACAAGGAGGGGACACGGGCAGAGCGGCAAGAGCTTTGTCTGCCAGCCCTCCCAGGAAAGGGTGCCTCCTCTTGGGGCAGGTTTGGTAGCAGGACTGCACTGCAGCACAACCCTTTGGATTTGTGCAGCAGCTGTGCAGCTGTGCAGGGCTGTGCTCCTGGGCATCCCCCACACCTCCTGCAGGGAGAAGGAACTCCTGAGCTGTGCAGCCCTGAAGGAGGAAAGGATGTTCTAAATGCCCCCCAGCATTGCCCAGACCTCTCTCCTCTCTGAGAGATGCTTTTGCAGAGGTAAATGAGAACAGTCTGGCTAACCAGTCACTTTTCTGAAAGCCCCACAGCTCCAGCAGTGTCGAATGGTGACACTCATACCCCACGCACAGGTCTGCCCTGACCACAGCCAGGCACGGTTCTGAATGAATGAAACTAAACACCCCAACATTTCTCCAGCCTGAGCAGGCAGTGGGTGATGCTGGGAGCTGGCAGACTTTACTCTGGTGCCTGGCAGTGACAGTAAGGATAGGGACTATCACATGCACGGGCATCTTGAGGAACCAGGGGCAAGGGTGGACCCACCTTTCCCCCAGATGCCAGAGCAAAACTTCAGTTTGGGATTTCCAGTGAGCACACTTGGCTATCACATTATCCCAGGCTGAAGACTTAAGCTGCCTATCTCATATCCTGAAACTGAGAGAGGAAAATTGAAACCTGTTCTCTTTCAGCAATGCTGGCTGCCAGCTCACCCTGCAACCCTGTTAATTATTGATGTTCTTCAGGAATAGGCCTCTCCATTCCAACAAAGCCCGGCTCCCTGACTTGTGTGAGGCAACCTGGTGTCCCTCGCCCCAGGAATCAGGCTGCAATTAAGTTATTATAGATGCTGTAGAAAGGGCACAAGGGGATTATAGACCCTGGGTAATTAATTTGGGCAGAGCCACAGAAAAACTTAATCCCCAGGCTGGGAGAAATTTCAGTCGGTGGTTATAGGAGGACAGCGAGCAGCTCTGTACAGAGCTGTGCCCATGGATCCCTCCCCAGGGGAGTCACAGAGGCTCCTTAATTTGTGCAGGTCTCTAATCACCTTGAGGAATTTAGTGAGCAGGCTCCATTAACTAAATGCCCCCTGGCTGGTGTCCCTCTCATTAGAAGCAGGCTGCATTGCTCCCTTATCTGAAGAGGAATGATGAGATAAGGGAACAGGGGAGGAAAGAATAATTGAGGCATGAAGGAAACAAAGGGAGTGTTTACCCCAGCCTGCAAGGGTCACCAGAGAGGGTCTCTGTTCATGGAAGTGCCACTACAGTGGAGAAATCTCCACGTATGACACGCAGGGGTTGGATGGCAAAAGCCAGAGCAAGAGCAGCGTGACACTTCTGTGGGCCACTGTTATGCATTTGCTTGTTGAATGCTTGGCCCTACACACCCCAGCCCTGAACAAACTTCACTTTTCAGGAAGGTAGTGGGGCTGCCTGGAATTGTGGGTGGGTGTTTGGAGCCTTGAGGACTAGTGCAGACACCAAATTATCTGGAATCTGGACAATTCCAGGTGATTACTCAGGTCTGTAAGTGTCCTTAAGCAGGGAGAAAGTGATAGGGAGTGCAGTCTAGTAAAGTGAATCAATTTCCAGGCATACATCCCCACCTTTCATTTTTGCTGTACAGGTCTCTAGCCATAACCCCCCTCACACAACACAGTGGAGAAAGGCACTCACCTCTGGCATCCATGGGACAGGGCTGTCCACAGCTGCGTAATTTGATTTATTCCTCTCACCTATCTGCAGCTCCTGGAACTGAAATACAAGTAGAGAAAAGTCCAGATAAATGACACAGCACTGACATGTACAAGATGGTTTTACACCAGCTCTGCAAGAAGGTTCAAACCTCGTGACAAGAACATATGAGAAAATAAAACAACTTTTCAAGCTCCCTTTCCAAAGGACAAGCCAGATATCATTAACATAACAAGGTGAAAATACATCCTGGCTTTTTTGAGAGCACATTTCCATGGTGAGCTGCTGAGGGAAGAGGATACCAGTATTGTATAACTGCTTGCTAGCACAGAGTTAAAACTTAGGTCATTCTCTGGGGGTTTTTCCCCATCTGTGTTTCCAAAGTGTTGAAGTGATAGTTCTTCCAGCACTGCCTTCCATCAACAGTACTGAGATGTGCTTCACTGGAGAGCAATAAACTCTCCTGACCTTTCACTCCTGCTTCTCTCCTGCCTTCCTGAGCCACAAACCCAGCCAGCTTTGTCCCACCACTGTGGCTCAGCACATCTGAAATAACTTTGCCTACACCGGAGGCATGGGAGGTGCACGCTGCTGTGAGCCAGCTCAGTTTGCCCTGTGGCAAGCTCTCTTTGCTGTGAGAACAGAGAGCTGTCTCTTGGGGCCAGCATCTGAAAGGAAAGGCTGTCCTGTGTGCTCAGAAGGCAGCCTGGGTGTCCTCACCTGGTGTGCCAGCTCCCATGGATGGTCCTGCTGAAGGACTGTGTCCCCAGCTGGGACACGGGCGTCTGACAGAACCTTGGCAAGCTCCCTCCAGCTTTCGTATCCTGTACAGGGGAAACAGAGAGGTGTCAGGGAACAGGGTTAAAAAAAGAAAAGGTAGCAGTCTTCAGTATAAACTGGTCTTTACAAGGCTGAGAGACCTCTAACAGGAGTGCTCCAGCAGAGACCAGGAGTTGTTTATGTTGCTTGGAGTTGGCAGACTGGCACAGAGAGAAAAATTGTCTTTATTTTCCTTAAAAGCTCTTCCCTCCTTCTCATTAATTTAATACTTAAAGATTCATCATAGTTCTAAAATATATATCAGAGACTTCATTAATCACCACAGGACCGGGAACTTTTTTTTTAGATTACTCACATAATCCCAGTAGTCAAACTAAAGAATATCAATTTTTATCAATTAGCAGTGCCAAAGAAAAAGAAGACAGTAACTAGACTACTAATTTAACCATCAAAAGCATATTATTCTTATATGCACCAATTTTCACAGTAAAAGCTTCAATTTTCTTTCCTCGAAGGAAATTATGGACACTCATCTGCAACACCTAAAGTATTGGCAGTGATGCAGTCAAGGACACTGCTATCCAAGTGAAGTCACCTTCACTTGAAACTCCTTTCCCCTCTCATTCTGCTCAACCCAGAAGTCAGGATCAATTCTGATTTCCTTCCAGAACTTCAGTGACCTCCTGGGTTTAGGAGGGACAAAAAGGTGATGCAGCACAGCTGCCCGTGCCTGCTGTCCCACCACTAGTGAGACAGTGCTGGTGAGCTCAGACCTCCCAGCAGCGCTCCAGTGCCTCACCCCGTGTGCTTTTCAGGTCTGATGAACATTTTGGCACTTGTTCAGCAGGTGACCAGCCTGTCACAGCTCAGCACTGTGCCCATGGCAGCTCCAGCCCGAGGGACAAGCCCCAAAACCTCCAGCAGCCTCTCCCAGGCTGGTGGCACACCAGCCCAATGCCCACACAGCAGGGAGAGCAGCCAGGCTCTCTCCCCATTCTCTTTAAAACTGGAAATCATCCCCAAAGCTCCAGGAAGCCCAAAGAAGTTGGCTGCTTTGGTATGTACAGGGAACCATCCCGGCAGCCTCAAGTCCCAGTGTTTAGATGAATGGTCTGAGCCTCCTATGCTATTCCTACAGCCAGAAGTGGCAGGAAGGCGCTCTGAAAGAGAGGAACAGCCCACTGCTGGGGAAACATCTGCTGCTCCACAGGCAGCACAGCCACCTTCACCCAGCCCACCTGCCTCCAGCCTGCCCACCCACCAGCAGCCCGGGAGACTCGCTGTGCCTCAGGAGCGCGCTCAGCCCGCTTCCTTTGGAGGGGGCTTTTACAAGCCCCATGGCTTAGATCATCCCCCAACATCTCTGGGCTACACAGAGGCCGAGGCAAGCCCCAAACCACCCCAGGAACTGCAATTCACAAACAGCCCTCTGCCAGATTCCCCTCCCTGGCTGTGCTGAGCTCTGGGGCCGTTGTTTTGAGTACAAATAGGGTTGAAAAACTGTCTCTACTTGATCCTGAATCTGGGTCTGGCAGAGGTGAGCAGAAAGCTGCCTCCTATGGTGTGCTGATCAAAGGGGGAAAAAGAAACAAAAAGAAAGTGCAAAAATGGTGAAAAACATGAAAGTAGTCAGAGATTCAAGTGAGATACATGGCTCAGAGCCAGCTGGGGTATCCTGCTTTCCTGATGTGGGTGTTGGCTTGGATGTGTGGGTTTCATCAGGCCCTGTTAGATGCTGTTAGAACAGTCACAAATGTCTGATTGAGATCTTCTCAGCCCCAGATTCTGATTTGAAGCTATGCATTTAAATTTATGATTAAAAATATCAAGGTCAGTATTTATCTTCTGCAGAAGACTTTTCAGCCATTGGGTGAGCAACCTACTGATTAATGCAGCTAAGCACAACTTGTGCTTAAGGGACTGACTGTCACGGAGAAAAAGGAGAAATTCATTTGTCTTTATATAATTCTATGTGCAACTGGTGAGTTTCCTCCTTGTTCAGAGCAATGAGGCAGAAACCACTATTTGTGAGTGTCCTGCAAGTGGACACAGGAATTCCCACTCGGAATGGGCCTGAAACAGACTTTGCAGCTCATGTGAAATTCAGCACTTGCTGCTTTGAGGGCTACTTATAACAATGGGAGAGATCAGCAGGCTTCTTCTCAGAGAATAGAGCCACAGAATATCCTGAGCTGCAAGGGAGCCACAAGGATCACTGATGCTCAGCTGGCTAGAGAGGAACCAAATAAATCAGGGGGGGAAAAAAAAGGCAACAGAAGTCAGTTCACCCCTGGAAGACACCAAGAGCAGCAGGTTTGGTTTTTTCTCTTGTGCAGAGGGGAGAGGTTATTTGGTTCCATCGTTAAACTCAGCACTTCACTGCCCTGTGGAAAAAGCTGAGGGCAAAGCATCAGCAACCTGCCTCTTCTGGGAAGGGCTGGCACGGAGCCTGCCTCCCAGCAAACACAGAAGCCTGGCTGCACACAAGTGCCAATGGCTGACATTTCTTTGACCCTTGGAAAAGAGAAGAAAGGAAGGCAATTCTCTGTGTTGTACAAATATTTACCTAACACATCAGCCAAGCACAGAACAGACAAAGGAGCTACGAATTAATCTGGAGGCAGTGATTTCATTGCTGGGTAATTTGTGCTTTGGCAAGCCAGTTCTCCAGCATGGTAGGAAATGATTTTCAGAATATAACAGGATCAACACCCCCCTTAGAGAAAGTTCTTGGCACTCCAGCTCCTTCTGAAAAGATTGGCTTTTGCCTGTGGGTCTCCACAGGACACCCTTGGAGAAGGACCTGGTTTTGCCCCTGCTTTCCTCACTAAAGGGAGGAAACCAGAGCAAAGACAGATCCCCTGCAGTTTTCTGCAGTCAGAACACCTCCCGAGGCAACTGCTCACCGAGGCTTTGTCCCCAGCACACTGGCACAGCATTCAGAGGTGGCCTTGCAGGTCTCCAGTGCTCTGTGTCAGCTGGAGAGGGGAGCCCTGAGGCCACATCCACTGCCCTGTGTCAGGAGCACCTGGTGAGGTGACCTAGCACAGGTTCAGCCTGTCCTCCAGTTCTCTGTGAGCTGCTCACTGGCTCCAGCTCTCCTGATGCCTGCTCGAAGCCAACAAGACTACGCCTGGAAAATGCAGGAGTCAAGAGCTAAAATACCTCAGCAAACATTTCAGTGCTAAGAAGGAATGCCAGCACTATTAGCTTTGATGGTTTTCTCCAGTCCCTCTACAAAACTGGTTCTGGCTGGGATGTGAAAAGGCAGAAAAGCCATGAAGGCAGAAATCAAAGGCTGGGAAGAGCCTGTCTCAAAGCCAGGGGAAGACACTGAGCCAGGCATTGCTGCCATTAGCCTGTCAGACCGATGCACCAGCCAGCTCCTGGCCTTTCTCTCTCCTGGCCTTCACTTCCCAAAGCACACCAGTCGTTTTCCAAGGCTGTTGTTCACCTCAAACACCTCTGAGGAAGGCAGCAGTGACGCAGGCACAGCTCGCCAGAAGCAGCAGCCAGGCTTGCTGCCACATCCTCCCCCTCCCTGGCTCCAGTCCCATCTCCTCTCTACGAGCAGAGGTGCGTCTTTCTCTCTGCTTTTGCACCCCAATGCTCCAAGGTTCCAGTCTCACAGGGATCAGCCAAAAACATGAAGCTGATTCTTCTTCTTCAGAGAAAAGTGCTCCTTTTTGTCCCTTTTCCCATCAGGCTGGCTGGCAGATGCCTGCTGAGGATCCAAATTCCCAGCAGGGCCGACCCTCAGCTGCTCCTCTGGATTTGTGATGGGAAGCCCTCGGGATGGAGCTTCCTATGGAGATACGAGGCAGGGGAGCACAAAGCAAAGGCAAAGAAGCTGAAGAGGAGGCTGAAACAGACACTGCATCCTACAGCAGAGCAAGCTGCCAGTACCATGCCAGCTGCCCACAGCCCCAGTGAATCAACCACTGAGGGACAGAAAAGCTGTACAAGAGAAAATAAGATGGAGATGATTCTTGACCAGGGTCTGGTCAGGCAAGAGGGCCGTGTCTGCCTCTTCTCAGCCATGCATTTTACTGCTCTGGGCTTAAAAGTCAGCAAAGGAAGCTGCAAGTGGAGATGGAGAGATCTCACCCAGCAGTTCTGGCTCTGCCACAGCAATGCACTTGAAGCCCAGTTCAGGAGGAAAAGAAATAAAAATAAGAAAGCAGAAAGCCACAGCCAGAGATAAGAGCCAGCAGGAGGCAGGGAGCTATCAGGCCTCGGGCAGGAGTGTGACCAGAGCTGCTTTGTGTGTTCAGAGATTAGATCCACCCAGCCACTGCCTTGCCCCAGCCAGGGCTGACATTTCAATCAGCCTGTGAAGATACCTGGCAATCGTGCAAAGGGAAATCCCAGGCCCACTCAGGTGATCAACTGCCCCTCTGAAAGACGAGATTTGATTACTCTGCTGTTGTTACTGCTGCTTACATAGCTGCAAATGTTATTAACACCCACCTGCTAGCCAGCCCTTCTGTAACCCTGCTGAATGATTTCACTCAGCAGCCTCAGGAAAGAGCAGGTCCATGGGCTGTTTTGCACAAAAGCATTTTCCTTCTCATCTGAGAGCCTTCTCCTCTTCTGTTTGTTGCAAGGAAGAAAGGGCAAGAAAGGAACTGGCAGGAATGAAGCAGGGTGCTGCTCTTCATTACCCGCAGCATCCACAGACCCCTCACCATGGCTTGATGTTTTAACCCTCCCTTGGATGGTCTTATTTCTCCTCTTATCCTGGTTGAATATTTTCAATAACTTTACTGTTATTCCCTGGGACTTCAGCACCATTTGAGGTCTTTGCCAGTGCTCCTCCTGGCTGAACAGCTTTGCAGGAGCAATACCCAATACCCCCAGACATTACCACTAGGAGCCTTGCAAATGTACTGGTCCAAAAGATGCTGCTGAAGGTCGCTTGAAACTGAGCATGAGAAGGTGTTTAGAGAGCTTGATGTGCATTTCACACACCCTGACCAGAGCAAACCCTGCTGCTGGTGCCACTCTGCAGAGGAAGGAACATCTCCTGGCCTACCACAGACACCAACACAGCCCCCCAAAACCGAGTGCAGAAATCACAAGGATGAGGAGTGAGGTGTAACCTGTCCTTCCACAGACAGAGATGTGGGTGAAGGATACAGTGAAAAGAGACAGCCAACAGTTTCTGGACATAAGGGTGGGTTAGGTCAAGTCATGCATCACAGATGAGGTCAGAGAAACTACCAAAAAATCCCCGTTCAAGGGTAGGGCCTGGTCAAGGGAGTCTCTTTGGTTACTTATTTAAGACATTTAAAAGGATAGACAGAAAAGAGTGAACTTCTGGTCCTCAGGTCAAGATTGGAACATCACTCCTGCAGTTGAAAGGATTCAAGGAGCATGAAACCCAGTGTTACAGAGGGAGCCCTGCAAACCTTCCCATTTCTGCCTAGTGCAGAACCCACAAATGAGGTTGCTGACCTCCTCCAGGGACAAAGCTCAAGTTAGGAACCTTGTGTGCAGAAATAAATGACTCCATTCTTCCTCCAGGTACAACTCTGATTCACTGCTACGTGAATGGCTTTGCAAACTGACAATAAGCCACAGAACATTAAAAGTGCTTGAAGTATGACGGAGGAAAAGGCAGAACACCGTGCTTGGGAAGGAGAGGAAAATCAGCAGACATTAACTACCCACAAATAATACCTTGCTGCTGTTCCCCTCTAGGTATAGGAAATGTATTTCATCAGCAGGAGAGGAACTGATAAACAATGGCTGGGGCACTAACTGGTTTCACAGAAAATATAATTCAAATCGTGCTTCTGTCACTAAAATTTTCCATTGCTCTAGTTAAATCATTAAACCACCCATGCCACACAATGATTCCAAATATTCCTCCAAATGAGCAAATATTGCCTGCTGTCTGAAAGCTGAGTGAGGCTATGCATATATGGAGATGCAGTGCTGCATTTCAGTGAGAAAGGCCATCATGCAGCTGCACTATCCTTCAAAATTACAGGGCTGAGCTCCTTTGTCAGCTCCAGAAATGCCTCTGTTTCAACCTAGAATGTACTAGAGCAAAACTATTGTAAACTCTCGCCTGTCTGCACTTGCCACGCTGAAGGTGCAGGACATTCAGGAGTTCATGTGAGCACAAAGCATGCAGCCAGCTGAGGTGCCACAGCCTGGCTGTGCAGTCACAACCCCTGCCCCAGGGCACCTCTGCCCACAAGAGCCCTGTGTTCTCTCCTGCCACCCTCATCTCTTCAACCTCTCCTCTCCATTTTCCAGGGGAAAGAGGAAACACTGGCTCGAAGGAAGCCTGAGCAGAAGAGCACCTACTGCTGATTTCAGCAGCCTAGG